CAACTCACATCATTGTGGTAAAATTCTTCTTCTACCGGTCCTTCATCACCTTAGACGAAATTGGGTGAATACATCTCATACTACTGATTTGCTGGTAGTCACGAAAACAATATTTAATTCAAAAAACAAGAAGAATGAGTTTCATCTTTGACGCTGTTCGTCAAAATGCTGGACGAAAGACGAGTGCACTTTAACCCGAAACAGAATCAACCATCATCTCTTTTTCATGCACTTTCGTACGAAATGAAAGTCTTCTCAAAGATGTAGAATAAGCGGAAAAACTGCCAGTCCTTCGTGACTTTGAGCGAACTTGACGGAAAAAAAGGGGTTGAAGGAGGAAAGGGGTTCCGTTTTAGGCCATTCTAACTCGTGCCCGGTTAAGTCTGAAAAGGCGTGTGGAAGGGATTCGTGCATGAGCTTTCGTCCATCATCTGACGCTCGTCGTCAGAGCTGGGACTCATTCCCATAAAAGTATGAAGTTGAGATGAGCTGAGGGCCTCAGCTGGTCACACTTCGAGCAGGCTGGCTCGTTACTGCCGTGTCTCAGACCGGCGACCGTTGAGTTGCTGTCGACGTCTGCCTTCGGAGACTGCCTCCTCTTGGCCCGACGGAGGCGCTGGTTGGGCGCTGGCGGTGCGAATGAGGCTCGTGCCTCGAGGCATGCGCAAATCGAGAAAGGGGGCTGGCAACTGGCATCAACCCTCGGAGCTGCTTGCCGTCATGCGGAAAAAGCCGATTCTCATCGTACGGACTATCAGTTGTCAGTTGCCAGTTGCCAGTCGTCTGGATCGTCTGTCGTCATGCCGGCAGCTGACCTGTAGCACTACTTCTTCGCCACGCCTCCTTCCGGATACCGGCATTGCGCTACTCCTCGCGACAACACAGGCCCGTCAGGCTTTGGCCATTGCAACAAGAGTCGTCAAGACGGGACACACGCATGGGGGCTCACGAGAGAGCAGGAGGGGGGACAGAAAAAGTTGTGGACTGGGCGAAATGGATGAACCAGCAGAGATGTCGCCAAACCTTTTATTGGGTCGTTGAGAGGGTGCAAATAAAGGACAAGGGGGCTACGGACTGAGGTGTGTCTTCTTCCCAAATGGGATGTAAGATAATCCAGAAAAGAGTGACTTCGAATGGGATATAAAGTAAACAGAAGAGAGCATCAAATATTCTCATATCTCAGCCGTAAAATATAGTACAATAATGTACAATATAGTACTGTATTACATAATATACATTAAAGTATACAGTATATAATAGTATAATATAGTATAGTATAGTATAATATCGTATATTAAAATATAGTATGCTATAGTATAGTATCGTATTGTATAATATATTATAGTATAGTATAATATGGTATAGTATAATATATTATGGTATAGTATAGTATCGTATAGTATATTATAGTATATTATACTATCGTATAGTATAATATAGGAAGGTATAGTATAGTATGGTATACTATATTATAGTATAGTATGATATCGTATAGTATAGTATAGTATGGTATAGTATATTATCGTATAGTTTGTTATAGTATAGTATAATTTGGTATAGTATATAATAGTATAGTATAGTATAGTATATAATAGTAAATTATACTATCGTATAGTATAATATAGAAAGGTATAGTATAGTATGGTATACTATATTATAGTATAGTATAATATCGTATAGTATAATATAGTATATTATTGTATAGTATATTATAGTATAGTATAATATCGCATAGTATAATATTGTATGGTATAGTATAGTATCGTATAGTATATTATAGTATAGTATAATATCGTATAGTATAATATAGTATGGAATCAAAGGGTCTGCAGGAAAATGCATACCGAAAAAGGGTAATTGGCGGAAGACATCGCACAGACTGGACACGAGATCAATTGGAAGGCAACAATGAAAGCACAAAGAAATGCAAGATTAGGGAGGTTATTGACATCGTTTGGGAGAAAATGGTAATCAACGAGAGATTGGAGGAAGGTAAAGTTGGCGATAACTTTGCTTATGGCTTGAGAAAACTCGGAGAAAAGAAGCAATCGTTAATCAGAGGAAACGGGATCGAAAGGTGGAAGCGGATGGGAAAGTTGGGGTAATCAAACGAAGATGTTCTACATGAAGAAGCAATCACAACTTTGCCGGTCTGATGGTCTCGTGACTAGGCCGACGGATGAGCGCAACCGTCACAGAAATGCGGCATTATCGCCAAACTGACAAGAAGTCCAGTCGAGAGGAAGCGGGCGAGCAAAGGTTGAAATGCACAGTTTGCTCAGATTACATGGATTTATTTTTGTATTTGAATAGAGTTTCGAGACTATCAGTAAATCAGTAATATGACATGTATTCACTATATTTCGTAGTAGAATTTTCCCACAATGATATGAGTTGAGCTGACGTTTCACATTGCCTTGCTATCCCAAAATTTGTTCTCATCCAGGCACCAGTCGACTGCAGTTTCGAAGGCACATCGGTCTTATCATCCAGTCCTTCATCACCTAAACAAAATAGGATTAATACCTCTCATATTACTGATTTACTGGTAGTCAAGACACTCTACTCAAATACGAAAATAAGTAGTGTAGTCTATTTTTATAGGAAAATACGTTTTCTTAATCGGCAATCCCACCGAAGAATATGAAATAGCAAAAGGGCTGGCCTTCCTTGAAATTCACATATGCCCTGTGAGGGCAGTTGTGGCAATGTGACGCAGTGGTTGATGTGTCAAGCTGACATGCTGCACTGTCACGGTTCGACTCCCGCTGGGGTGTGAAAACGACCAATGCGAGGTTGAGACTGTAGTCCACTTCTGCCTGGACGATAATATCATTGTGGGAAAATTCTACTATCATTCCTTCATCACCTTACACGAAATAGGGTGAATACATCTCATTAAACTGATTTACTGGTAGTCTCGAGAGTCTACTCAAATACAAAAATAAGTAGTGTAGTCGATTTTTATAGCAAAATACGTTTTCTTCATCGGCAATCCCACCGAAGAATATGATATAGCGAAAAGGCCTGACCTTTCTTGAAATTCACTTATGAACCGTGAGCCAAGGGCAGTTTTGGCACTGTGACGCAGTGGTTGATGTGTCAAGCTGACATGCTGCACTGTCGCGGTTCGAATCCCGCTGGGGTGTGAAAACGACCAATGCGAGGTCGAAACTGCAGTCCACTTCGGCCGGGACGAGAACAACTTTTAGGAAAGCAAGGCTTTGTGAAATTCAATGGAAGCGTCAGCTCAACTCATATGACTGTGGGAAAACTCTTCTTCTACCAGTCCTTCGTCAACTTGAACGAAATTGGGTGAATGCCTCTCATATTACACAGGCTTAATGTAGGAAAAGGCAATATCTGATCAAGCTATGAAGACCAAGATGGTGTGGACCTCGGAAAAGTCGTAGTATCCTTTCGATGGGCTGATTTCGTTTTGGCAACTTGGTCTTGTTGTCAGGGCGACTATGTAGAACGCACCGAGTCCGAAATCGTCTTCCAGATTAGCTGACATCATTCCCAGCATCAGACAGTCGACTTGGTACATTCTCAAACGTTTCGCCGACATCGTATTCGCCATTCTCCGCACCAACATACGAACTCGTCAAAGATACAATTAAAGTCAATCCCTCGAAACGGTTACACTCTCACTCCTCTTTCTGTCATTGTCTATCTATCTACTCTTTACCCTCTTCTCCCACTGCCACCAGATGACAACATCCCACTTGTTAAAATTCCACTCGCCTAAATGTGTGTACTTTTGTGGCAAATCTAAT